CTTTGTTCTTAGAAGATAGTGAGCATGACTTAAATGAATTCCTTTTGAGTTACATTATACAAGAAAATGAGTGTGGGAGAAGGAATGCTTGTTCTTAAGTATGTTTTGAGTTTCAAAAGAAAAGAAAAACAGAAAAGAAAAGAAAGAAAGAAAAAAGAGCTTGAAAAAAATGAAAGAATGAGTGATTGAAGTAAGGGCTCAAAACACCAATTCTGGCCCTAAATTGTCTCCCTTTTTGTTCCAAAGTTGAGTTTTCATTCAAAAGTGAATTCTAAGTTGATTCAATTGCCTTGCTCATTATTTCTTTAAGAACCTTTGTTTTCCATATCCCTTCTTTATTATCCACACGCCCCAAGCCCCATTACAACCCGTGACTTCAATCTTGAGTGTTATGTGTTTCAATTTGTGGAGTTTGAACTTGGTATGAGCATATGGTGTCACTGGTTCTCGCATCTAAGTAGTAGCATTCCATTCATGAGATCATAATCTAAACATGCTTATTAACTCCAAAAATTGCGTTCTTTGTGATACATATATGTGAGTGTTCGTTTTCATGTTTACATCAATATTCTCACATATGACTAGATTAGGGTGTGTAGTTAGAAAATCTGAGTGAAAATTGAGTGCATATCTTGTAAGGAATTGAGCAAATTCTCTAAGGCATGTTACTACATTCAAAACATGGTTTTAAATGCTTAATTGTGAACTAGTATGTGGTGACTATGATTAAGAATGTAGTTAAGGGTAAAGATGGCTAAATTCTGTGGGAATAATAATTTTTAAATTGTCATGTGCATTGGAAATCCCTGAAACGATTGTTGGAAGGTGTAGGTTGTGTTTTACGTGTTTAGTGTCGTTTTGTTTATTTGTTTTTATTCTGTTTTGCTCGAGGACTAGCAAAAGATAAGTGTGGGGGAGTTTGATAGGAGCATATTTAGGTGACTTACTTAGCTTGTTTTCGTGCATCTATGTTGTTAATTCATAGTTGTTTTAGTAGTTTAAGCCATTTTCGTGTGTTTTTAGGTTCATATGGCTAAGGAAGCAAAAGATGCATTTTGGAGCATTTTGGAGCAAAATTGGGCTTGGAATGGATAGCATATGATTGGAGCCAAAGTGTTGGACGAATTTGAAGGCCTTGTATTCATTTTGGACATAAAACAAAGGGCCTAGCCCATTCTCTCTTAAACCAACCCCAAGGCCATGCATTTCCTTCCAATTCCAAAGCCCACAATCACTTCAAAAGCCATGCAAAGAACCATCAATTCCATAAAAAACAATCCATCAATTCACATGCAAAACCACCATTAACACACATGCACCCAAACAAAGCCAACCTAGCTAACCCTACATGCATTCTTTATGCAACTCTTTATCATTCCACCATTCATTCTTTATTCCACAAACAAGTCACATGCATTTCCACCTTCCTACTTCATCATTTCACCACATTCTCCCTCTTTAACTCATTTCATTATTCATTCACTTTGCATTCATTCAATTCCACCCCACATGCACCCTTTATTCTTCATCATTGCAACCATGACACATTTACACCAACAAAACAACTCCCATGCCATGGCCTACTCATATTCCCATTTCCTTTCCAACATCTCACATGCATTTCCACCTTCCTACTTCATCATTTCACCACATTTTCCCTTTTATTTCCACATGCAATTCTTCATCATTGCAGCCACAAACACCTTAAACAAATAGCCATATACATCTCCACTCCTCCTATAAATACCCTTGCATTCATTCATTCAAATCTCATCTCATTCACAACACAACACACCACAAACACTTCTATTTTCTTCCTTAGCCGTGAGTTTCTCTCCATTTTCTGCACCATTTTCTCCACCACTCCTCATCCATTTCCATAATCCCCCAATCCATTCAACACACCAACAACATCCCTTAGTCCTTGTGCCACAATAAAGAGGAAGATAAGAGGGCCTAAACGTTCATACAATTCACGTTTGAGTTGTTGGAATGTTTACGCGTTTCTTTGATTTCAATGTTTAAATTCAATTCTCTTTGTTTTGTAATATGAGGAATGGAAGAGAAGAGTGCCTAAACGTTCATACAATTCAAGTTTGAGTTGTTGGAATGTTTAGGTGTTTCTTTGATTTCAAAGTTATGAGGAACTAAACCCTTTTTGGCTAGGGGTGATTTCAATACCATGATTATTTATGTAATATGAATTGATGAATTCCGGTTATGAACTCTTGATTCGTGAATGCAATTGGCTTAACTATTTGATTATTAACTTATTTGTGTTTGTTGATTGAGGGTCGACACTTAATTAGCATGCATGAATATGTGGCTAAAATTTAAGAAGGTTTCACATAATCGTTACTAACTTATACTTGAAAGTAGTGAAGGTCGCTTGTCACGATCGCGTTAAGTTTAATTCTTAGCATGAGTAACATGATGTCATAGTTGCAAATGTTTTGTCAATGCTTATGGTTTTCATTATTCTTAATGATCTTCGATTGTATCTCTATTATGATGACATGTAGGGAACTTTTGAGAATGTTTTGGGTTGTCGAATGATGCCATCTAATCCAATAATATAAGGAAAATCTGAGGGTTAACTAGTGATGTCACGGTTAATTTGGGGCATTGTCATTCATAATTCAATGAAGGAATAACTGGAAATTGATTCATATGCATAAATATCATGTGTGGAGAAAGAACCTCTAGCTAATTCACCAACCATCTTGTTTCACAACACTTGTTTACAATCTGTCCATTTTTGCATTTTGTTTGTTCATTTCAACTTCGTCAAAACTAAAACCCCCTTTTTTATTTCCTTGTTCCCAAGTGTCTTAAATCTGTTTTAATTTAGTTTTTATGTTTTTAAGTCAATTTAGAAGGTTTTAGCAAGCCCTCCTAATCTCCGGTCTAAAACGATCCCTCACTTATCCATTCTACTACAATTGTCAAACGAGGGTTTAATTTGAGTGTCAAGTAATTCTCGCATCAGTTTCAATTTAGCATCGGTACATTTCAAGTTGTTATTGGTACATTTCAAATTGACCTGAATATGTTTCAAATTGATTTCAATTTAAAATTCACATTTATATATGGGTACGTTTCAATTTAGCATTGGTATTTTTCAAGTTGTTATTGAACATTTCAAGGTGAAATGGGTACGTTTCAATTTAGCATCGGTACGTTTCAAATTATTATTGGTATGTTTCAAATTGACCTGAATACTTTTCAAATTGATTTCAATTTAAAATTCACATTATATATATCATGCCGAATAACACTAATCTCAGTCCAAAGACTCCAAACTCATCCTTTTTATCAACAATTTTTATATTTCAATAATAATTTTATGATGCGAACGAACCAACAAAAGGGGTATAAACCCTGATGCCAAAAAAAAAAATTCAAAATTCAAAGTTTAGAGATAATATTGGTGATTTAGTTAATAGCCATTAATAATATCCCTAAAAAGAAGGTATAAATCTTGACAAGCCAAAAAAATTCTCCTTATCAACTAAAAGGATAAAGTGGGAAATCAACATATAGCATTTTTATTTTAAAAAAAAAATAATGACATGTAAATAAAATAAATTTAAAAATGATTAGGTGGACACTAGTTAAAGCGTCTTAATCAAATTTTAAAAAGAAACAAATGTTTGATAAAAATTATGTAAAAAAAGAGTGGGGGATTCTAATTTTCTCTTTTTATTGCAAGCAATTCTACACTTTATTTATACTAAGGAAGGAGGGGGTTAGAAACCGGAATGTCGGAGGTCTAAGATAATCTACTACCCACAAAGACGGTTAATGTTATTTTAGAAAATGTACGTGTCACATGCTTAATTTGGACAAAAATTCTCCCAAAAGTAATATTCCATGTTTTGTCAATTCTGATACCAATTTTATTAATTTTACTTTATATACCAAAACTGCAATCGATCATTGTGTTAGCAACGAGTGTTCCAATTTACTCATAAACAGAATTTAGACACTTTACCCAATCACAGCCACTTCTACCATATTTGGTTGCATTAATTTCAACAATTACAATTCAATCCAAGGGCAAAGGCAGGTTCTTTCATTCTATTGCCGTCTTCTTTTGCATAACCGAAACATAATGATTTACAGAAACACAACATGAAATGATAAATAATTTTCATGCTATTGGCTTTGAGAAGCTTAAGGATGATTTATTTTTACTTTTCTGAAAGGATTTACAAGAGTTTATAATACAACACTACCCGATTATTTAATAAGTATCATCCCTTAATGTTGGATGAGATTTCGAGTTTGAATCTCTTTCATCGACAATAAAATAAAACATTTCCAAAGGCCAACGGGTTAAGGATCAAAATTATGGGTTGTTTAGTTATAGTTTAGATTATCCACATAATTCAATGTTGTTTGATGCTTTCATGTATGAATTTTTGTAGTTTACATTATCCCCAACAACCGCATTATCGGGATTGGAAGTTGCTACAAATATAGAAAAAAGGACCAGAAGGCTTTTCGAAATGACTTGTTGCCAGGTCAGATGAACCAAATGGAAAAACATACGTCTTCTTTGGTTGTCTAGTGCTTGGTTATAAATAGAAGCTACATGAACAAAGATTTTCATAGAACGAGAATGTCGCATTGCAAAAGTTAAACGAGAATATCACATTACCATGTATGAAAGTTCAACCACTACAAAAAATATGGGCACTGCACACTATAAATTATTTGTGCCCTTTGAGGTCAAAGAGCACCAACATATGTGTCCATAGACCAATGGCAACCGTGCAGCAACTAAGTTTGTATTTGTGCCCTCTATGGGCGTCACCATTACTAAAAGGGCACAATACACTGTTTGGTGCTCAAAGACACAGGCACAAATAAAGGCCTTTTTGTGTCTGTTCTGACAAACTTGTCAGATGACCTTCTCCATCCATGTTTGCACTATTTTTGTTATTGTGCCCAGTAGGTTCCATTTAAAAAAAAAATAGAAATGCAAAATTTTGAAATAAAACCAAAAATTTAAAATTTTCATAAAATCAAAGATGGCAAGCAATCCAATAGTAGAAATGGAATGTCTATAATGAAACTACAGAAATATTCCTCATAAAGAACATGTTTACAAGTGTTAAAGATAAAAGACCAACAAAATAATGAGATTTTCCTATCAATGTATCCATGCATTCCTACATAATTGCCACCCGCAACTGATTTTACCCTTCTTCCCAGCTCAATGGATTATGCAATCACCTTCCTGAAATCCAAACCAAAGGAAAAATGAAAAAGGGAAAGGATCACATATTTTCAGTGATGTTTAACTACCCAAATATCCAATCAACATTGAGAATTCATGGTATCCTGAAAATCTATTTAAAATAACCAAATGTGATCAGAGCTCGTAACACCAGCATGCTTATGTTTTCAAGTGCATTCTAAGTGCTGCTTGAAATATTATATGATTAACATATTGGAATCTGGTAGCTTGTTGTTACCAATGCGTAGAAAGGGTAGCTCACCTTAAGTTCGACCCCAGACTCTAGACGTGAGTGCGCACCCACAATGGAGTGTTGAACGCTACATTCTTGCAAGAAGCAACCATGAGAAATAATTGCATCCATAATCTACAAAATTCATTTGGCCATGAGATCAAATATGTTCTCAATAATTACAAATCAAGTGATATAATATTTTTAGAGCCAGAATTTGATCCCAAGTGCAAACCAATCCACAACTATAATGCCAGTGAAGAAAAAGACCAACCTCTGCCTTCTTGATGACTGGAGACTTCTTGAATGGCAGTAAAATATGTGGGAACAAATACATATAGACCGCAATTGATCATGAAGCACCAACTAAATGAACAATTTTGGGACAGTAATTGCATCGTGTACATACAAAAGTCACTGGATTCTCAGTATAATGCAATAGTTCTTTGGTGGCAGGATCAACAACCAACTGCCAAAACTGGTTCAAAGATTCAGCAAAAACTTACAGATGAACCCAAAAACGAAGTATGGCATGATGAAAAAACAAGAGGAAAGAACATCAGGAATATGGGGGAGAGTTGCAACATTATTCAATAGTTCAAGCAGTCTGTCAACAAACTAACCCTTTATTACTAACATTGTACCCATCACCTTATATCCTTTATGAGCAACCGCAATGACGAACAAGAAGAAGCAATAAAAGGAATTAACTTTTCAAAATCTTATCTATAATTCCAAGCAATAATCACAAACAATTTTCATTAAATTCCAGAAATGAATTGTATAGTGGTACGACTAACAACTACTAATTGTTCTTTTGACATGTCGCAACAGGCCACACCGCAATCAAAATTTAGGTCCAGTGACATCAATGGCACTCTAGATTAGAATTTCATTAACCTTCAATGTTTATCGTGTTTGAACTCCAATCCAAATCAGTCGTGACTATGTGTTCGATATATGCAAATAGATTTGAGTGTTTAAAAAGGATTAAAGGCAACTGCAGAAGAAGATGGGATGGTGCTTAGATAACTACACATGCTTAGAAACAGAGAGCTATTCTTCCTACTATCCAATCAACAAAATTTGAAACATCAATTTGTTGCTTTCCTAATTTTATTATGCCAATGCAAAATGCAATGCTAATTAATATGCAGTATGCTGTGTTTAAGGTTCAACCGTTCTTACCAAAGAAACATGCAAAACTCGCCAGGGCCTAGCTCGTCCCATAATCATAGCAAAGATTAAGAAATAATTAGATGAAAGTAAAACCCATAACCTCATATATTCCACACACAACAGTAATAGAAGAAAAAAGCACAGCAGACATGCAACAGAGCTATAAACAATCAACGTAAACAAAATTAAGAACCAAACAGATGAGTGAATCGTTTCTGCACCTCAGAATCGCTTCAACTTCGTAAAATTTGGAGTCTGGGACATAACCCACAAGCAACTAACAATATGGAGTCAGAAGCCATGCCAAGATTTAAAATTTAAAATCCGAGACACCCAAATCATAATTTGAATGGAACATGCAATAACATTGAAAACCCATAAACCATATTTCCAGAAAATGGGAAGAAGACAAACCATTTTTCCGAATTTGAAGGTTTCCACAACGGCGATAAAATATTGTTGACGACCACGACTCCTCACTCCCTCTTCGACTCGCACCTGCCCTTCCCTCACCAACACCTCCTAACCTGACGTACCTCCCTCCCATGATCCTTCCCTATCGGACTCGGATCCCAACACGATTTCCGATTCAGGCTCTACATCCACCGATCATCCCAAACCCGACCCACCCCCTCCCTTGATATCTCCCTACCAGACCCCGATCTTCCCAAACCTTCCTCCATCACGTGCATGGGATTTCTGCTAAGGGATTCTGGCGATTATGGGGCTCAAGAGCCTCCACGATTTGTCTGGAGAAGGTAGAGAGAGAAAGAGGGGTTGGAGAGAGAGAGAGACAAAGGTAAGAGAAAGAATCTGAGGGGAAGCAGGGCGAAAGGGGAAGCTAAAGGGAAATAGATAGAAGGGAATAGAATTAGGATAGAATTTTAATTATTATTATAAAAGTTAGTGGGCACAATTGTGTAATGTGGTGGTGGAAACCTAAGTTTTTGAATTTAGTAGTGGGAAACCCAAACTTGCACCATAAAAGAGAGGGAGAAGTCTAATTTGGAGAAGGGGAAACTTATTATAAATCCAATTTTATAAGCTTGTCACTTCCGATCTCGACATACGTCCCGGATTGACTCGTGACGTCATCAAGTATCCGTACGTCTATCATACCCCGCCTTCGGAATATGGCAAAACATAACTTGAGCATTGATTTGCATAGTATTTTTTTTTCTTCCTAATTTCTGATTGGTTGCTCAACCTCCAACACCCCCCCCCAACCCCAAAAATTCTGATTGGTCCTCCACCATTTAACTTATTGGTTCCTTCCCTTTGGCCTGAATGGCCTCTTTCCCACAAGGTGGGAGTTTATATTCATTTAAATCTAAGTTTAGTGAAACGACTTCAAATGTTTGTAACTATGCTGTTATAATCCAGATTCGCAAACGGTTTTCATCTGTGCGTTCGTGGTCTCGAGATCTATTTGAAAACATCAATTGTGAACTTGAAAGGTCAACGAATTTTAAAGATTGATTACGAAAATTCAAATCCGATAGTTATTCGATTTAATTCCAAAAATCAATGGAATTAAAATTAACTAATGAAAATAATGTAAACGTGAAATACGAATTTAAATAATGAGATATGTAATTAATAGTGAAATTCCGAGGATGGGATTTCACAAAGCCATTATTAGTTATAGTCCAATTTTGTTTTAATTTTGAAGCTCTATTGAAGGTTAATTGTGTTTAGCATGATAAAAGGCTTGCGTTGTTCTTTTATTATTTTTTTTGTTTTTTTCTTTTCGTTTTTCTTTTGTTTTTTTCTTTTCTTTTGTTCTTTCTTTTTTGTATGAACAGGGAAACATAATTATAAACCAAAAAATATATAATGTTGGGAGTATCTATATCATGGGCCAATTAGAAAGAAAATATTATTATATTGTAATACTACATAAGTTGATAAAAGGACCCAAGAAGAGTCCAGCATAGCATAAGATAGTTATATTTTCACAGTACACCAGTGAAATATAACATAATACAAAATATATTAATTGTCCTCGTCATCGCTGCTTAAAATCTCAACGGTAACATTCTGCATATTTCGTGAGCTTAACTGTGGGAGATACAGACCTCTAGGACGAATTTGTGCTTGATAAGTGCGTGGTTCTTCAATAATAACGACAGAACTGGTAGACTCTTTAGTTGTTGTTTCAGTAGAAACCAAATTGACAGGATATTGTTCTGTCCTACCTGGGTTTGCCCATGCTGGCAATACACGTCCTTGAGGTGCGCGCACGCATCCGTTATTGTAGGGTAATGCGTAGCCAAGGCGACCATCAGCAAAAGTAGTAAGAATGTATGGATTATCAAAAGAACGAGGTATGCGCCCAGCATTAACAGGTTGTCGTGGACGTTGAACTGGAGGATTCGTTGTGGAATTTGCTGTTGTAATGTTGGAAGCAATATACGAATGTGATGCTGGAGATTCAGTTCCAATTCTAACTCCACGACGTTGCCTGTGCGCCATTCTCAATGATGTAGAACTTGATCAAATTCAAAAGAAACACAAGTGTATGAAGCAACCTTCTTAATTTCCATATACAAATTAGTAAGGGAGTGTGTGGACGTTTTATGGTAGAATAAAGGCACAAATCCATAATTGTGCCAACATATTCTTTTGCTATAGAGTATTTATTATTTATTAATATTTACTGGACACAATTTCTAACATTTGTGTCAGAAAAGAGGAATTTATAATTATTAAAATATATTCTCTATTTGAAGACCCAATGAGAAGTAGAGTGATTTATTATTTATTAATATTTAGTGGACACAATTTCTATCATTAGTGTCATAACAAGGAATCTACAATTATTAACTCATTTGTCTATCTGAAGACCAACTAACTTTTGCACAGAGACCAACCCTAAGGGCACAATTGTTGGTTATGTGTCACTGCAGGTAGGACTTTAAAACCAAAAACCATGTCACCAAGTATAAAAAAAAAACCTGCAAGAAGATAACAATCTAAAAAGTAGTTCAAAAAGATACGAATCTAACAAACATTCATTGCACCTGGAAATGATCCTTTGTAAATCTAAAACATGCCACTTAGTACTACGGTGTAGTGGTATTCTTCTTTACTTGTAAGTGAGAGATATGAGGTTCAGCTTTCGGGAAAAACAAATTTGAACAACATTATTGCTAACTTATTTTGAGGCTAAAATATTGCATGGTAATAAACAGCTTTATACCATTATTTACCACAATTTTATAAATTTTAATTATTGGTGTGCTAGAGGAGGTAAAGACAAACGAGAGAGAACATATAGTGCCTCTAACAAATAATTTTTATAGACACAAAATATTTTTTGTGCCCATTTTCAGTAAAAAAGTTGTCATGTGACCCCACTCGACACGATTTCCGTGCCCATTAGTGTTTTGTGTCTGTTTTTTTTAACATTGGGCACAATAGATGGTGCCCTCTATGGAATGAGAATTCTTTAAGCTTTTTGGTGGTCAAACTGACACAAAATTCTCAATGGTGCCCTTTGTTTTGTACCCAAAGCTCATTTTTCTTGTAGTGAACGCATAATATATTATGATGGCTGAAAGTTTAACTCATAACGCTTAACGTATTGCATGAAAATTTGAACGCCTAACAGTACGCATTAACCAATGAGACTGACATCTCTTGGGTTGATTTGTCCCGACAGAGTGGGTGAGTTTGCATTTCGCGAGTGATGGCATGTCCCTATCATATATGCTGGGCGAGCAGAGGCCAATCGGGCCAATTTGGAGCAAACACCACGACCTCAATTAAAATCATGAAAGTACTGAGTAATGTTAGATATATTAAATTTGGGGACTAAATTTATAAATTAAATAATGTGTAATTAATAAGAGTAAGCATGTTTATCAGCATTTAAGTAACAAATCAATTATTAACTTCTATATCTCTTAATGTTTAAAATTTTCTCTACAAATTTAATTTTCCTAACATTATCCGGTTAACATTGATCCCAAAAAGAAATATATGGAACATGATGAAATACATAATGCCAATGCCAATGCTTCATGTTCCCTTGATATTTTGAGGGAATTGAATCTAAATAACCAAATGAAAAATATTATTTTGAATTAAAATGATTTATAACTGCACAATGTATGATGACCGAATACGATCCATCGATCTCCGAAATCCTCACAAAGAGGATCCGAAAAGAATCCTGTTGGTATTATTTTGTTATGGAAGGGTGACACATGTATGACACATAAAATGCAATATCTGATGAAAAATTGAATTCATAGTCTAATGCAATACGTCTCTTCCGTCCTTAAAATGTGTTTTCATAAGTTTTATATAACTTAAATTATTTTATTATTACGATTTAAAATTTAATAAAAATAAAAGAAAAAGAAGAATTTTCTTTTCTTTTTTGAATGCAGTAGGTTTCTTATGCATTCGTGAGGTGTCAGCGTTTTTTTTTTTTTTTTTTTTTTTTTTTTTTTTTTTCCGAGCAAGAAAATAGTATATAAGCATAGTCGTTGACTTCAACAAACATATCCATGGCAGTTTGAACTCAGATAAAAAATTCCTAACTTTTAGGTTCAACAAAAAGGAGATCATAACGATTCAGTATGTACACAAAGAAATTGTGGGAACCTCTCAAATAATAATACTTCAAATCTTGCACCTCCTTTCCCAACTTTTACGTTCGCTTGAGCCAAAGTTTTTGTACAAAAAACGTAATGCAATCCTAAACGTAGTCAAGATGGCTAGACTAGCAATGTCAGACCATCTTCAACCAAATGGTTCAGAGGGTCAGAGGATTGAAAATAGCTCGAAAACCATCTCTAACTAACGGTTTGGCCAAAGGGCCAACAGGCTGGCCCAATCCAACCAGCCTTGAGTAGGTTGGATTTTTCATTATTAATACATTTTTTATCGGATATATCTGACAATATTGTCTTTTTTTTTTTGGCCAAATTTTTAAATTTTTTTATAAAAATTCCCTCTTTTCTATAAATACCTAAGTCATTCGTACACAATTTTTCACATAATTTTCACCCTTTTTAAATTTAAGTTGTTGTAATTTTTAAATTTAAATAATAAATTATGTTTGGCCCTATGACCCTTTAGCCTCCGGTTGGAGACGGTTTTTAGTCGCATGGCTAAAACGAGCCCTATGACCCTTGGTTGGAGATGAAGGCAAATATGGCCTATTCATTAAAATATTAATATTTTAAAAGATCAAAGGACTAAAACGAACCACCTGACCAGCTTTCAGTTGGAGATTGCCTCATTTCTTGAGTTTTCAAGTTCAAATCTTTTTATATATACCATAAATTATTATACTATATTAAAATATCACTCGGATAGGAAAAATTGCTACCAGCAAATCCTACAGTTGCGGAGTTACAGAAAACAGATGCTTCCACTTTAGCACCAGAGAGAGTCAACGATGATATCATGATTAAGCAAAATGGTGATGCGGATAATAAAGGCGGACGAAACGGGCAATGTGGTAATTTAATGTGTTTGGCAACGTCTTCCACTTCACTTCTGCCACCAAAGGCAGGCTATTTCAGTCGGTCTCTATCCACTCCAACAGCTCTCCTTGTCCTTTGCTTGTTTTGTTGCGCAGGGTAAACGAATTCAAAA